TTTACCATTCGCTTTTTCTAGTCTTTTAACTCATTTCTAACCGTAATTTTCCATCTTTCTTGAGTTACCCAAGAACAGGTAAGAACTTTCTACTGATTTAGGCTGCCTTATCCGGCATGAGTAATTATCAAGGCTGATGAATTACTGGATTGGATCTGGACTTCTTTTTTATAGAGGAGCAATTCTTTATATCCATTGGGAAACGATCGTCACTTCTTTGTCTTTTCATTTTAGAACCGGTAACCTTGCACTTCTTTTTACTGCTTCCGGCGATCATCATATCACCAACCGGATGATCGTCACGTCACAACACCTTTTTCTTGATAGTCACAATCTCATTGCCTGCGGGATCTGCATGTGAATCGGCTTGTATTGAGAAACGACACTTGATAGGTTATGGTGCCAGATACTATTTTATTCTATTCAACTGCCTTTACCTGGGGTTGAACTAGTATCTTGTGATCTGACCTGTGGAGCACTAACCACTGTGTTATAGACCCACATAGGGCTCCTAATGATACCACTTCGATACCACTTCGATACTAGTTCAATACTTAAATTTACTATAAAAACATATAAGTAGGTTACAACCCATATATTAAATTTACTATAGATTGGTACCATTTCGATACCAGTTCGATACCAGTTTGGTACTTTTTCGAAACCCTAGACCCACAGGTCCCTACTGATTACTAATTGTATTACAACAATAAAAATACCATTATCACAATTAATTATTTATCAAAGAAATATATTATTAATACTATTGTATACTTTGAACAGTAGCCTGATCATTTTTAAAAGTACAATTATCATACTTCAGTTAAATGAAATTATTAAACCAGTGTAATGTATCTAATGATTTTATCCAAAGTATCTATAGATTTATAATTAGTTTTTTTTGTATCCATTTCTTTTTTTAGTGTTTTTTTTTTCTTCAATTTTTTATTTCTTATAATCTTTTTATATATAAACTTGAGTAGGTATTTATAACTGCTTGATACTATCTTAAATATATAATATTTTAATATTTATTTTTCTTGCCACTTAGATAATTTATATAGGCAAGCTAGCATTAGAATTATTAATATAAGAGAAGATTTGCATTGTTATATGGACTGATATTATAATAATTATGATAGAAATAATTAAGATAGTTAAAATAGTTAAAATAGTTATTATAATTTTATTATAATATCAGCATGTATATAAGAAAAAGACCAAATCTTTAAATAAAGAGAGAGTTTTTATAACATAAACTAAGAAACAGTTTGAGTAATTATTTCACTATAAATATGTATAAATAAATTTTAAGTTTATTTTGTAAAGTTTAAAAAAGAAACTCAGATTTAATTATTGCATCTCAGCTTTAAAAACCTTAGTAGCAGAGAAAGGTTTGGATAATCTCTTATATTAGTTTAGCAAATTATATAAAAAATATTGTTACTTTTTTTATATATAAATTTTAAACAATTTTACAATTAATAAAGTGGTAATATTTATCTATTTTAAAAAAAACAACACAAAAACTACTAAATACCAATATCTAGATTATCAACTTTGCAACAGGTACTCTTCAATTAAACACATCTTTCAAAAATTTCAATTCAATACAAACTGATCTCAAAAACATCAATAAAATCCAAAACAAAATACTTGAATTACTATATATACAAATATAAACATCCAGAAATCAAGAAATAATTATAGAAGAAAAATTTCTAGACATATTATAAAATATCAAATACAAAAAAAATAATAACAATAATAACAAATCTTACAATATACAGAAAAACAAAAAATATCAATATCAACAATACTAATAAATAATATCAAACAACTTAACAATCAATAATATAAATCAAAATAATAATCTAATCAATATTATTTTTCAATTATTTTTTTAATTTTAATTTTTTTTTAATATTAGAGTAAGGTATTACTCATGATTTTTATTAATAAAGTAAAAGTTTAACTTGTTATATGATTAATATTAAGATATAAATTATATCATTATAGATATTAACCTACTACCCATTAAACAAATATATTATCTGAAAAACCCTTTAGCAGAAAAAACATAAGGAACTATTTGTTGAAAAATAGAAAATAAAAAAACATTTGAAGCAAGATTGCCAATATTATAAAACATTTGGATGAAAAGAAAAAGAAGGAAAAAATTGAAGCTTTTGTTAGATGTAATTCCTAAATACAATTAGGTGTTTTAGTCAGGTGTCAGTACCATGCAAGCCATATGTAACTTAATAAATTTGGTTATGTGATGTTTTGTAATGTTGTTGTTGTGAAATGTGATTATATTATAATATAAATAATATAATAACTGAAATATATCCCAGATGTCTATTATATTGTTTTGGGGAGGTGTTATGTATTGTAATTACCAGAACTTGCACAGGGCACTGATCACATGCTCTTCCAATCTGGTAAGTTGTTATATTGTTTTAATGTATAAAGGTAATACAGAATGTGATTGGTATTTTATATATTGTAAATCATTTAAAAGAGATAAGTTGATTACGGTTTTTGTGTTGAAATTTGTGAGTGAGAACTGGTAACTAATCAGAAGATTATATAAAATCTAGTACTAGTTATCATTAGCAGAAAACAAAAAAACTCTAAAAAAATAAAATACTGTCTCTTGAGAATAGAATTGTTTTTAATTTGAAAATGAGAAATGTGATTGTTTTATAACAATTATATATAGAGATGGCCTTCATATAGAAAAAATTTTTTTATTTATCTTTTCTGTTTCAAGTTATTGCCCAATGCTGTTACCAGTTACTAGATCTCTTAGCATGGACCATTGCTGAAATCCCAGGGGCCAATCTTATTCTTGAAACTCTCACTGCTTTAAATTAGTCCTCCAGTTTATATTCCCTTCCTAAAGAATATATTCTGCTAGACAAAGTTTCTTGAAAGAGGGAAGCTTCCTAAAAAGGCAAATTTATACAGATGGTGATGTTGTGGAAAAGAGTTTTTTTTTTTAAAGTAATTTTTTTTTTAATTTTTATTTATATCTTTATAAATAAAATAAATTATTAAAAAGGTATTAACCTCTCAAAATTAAGTAGTTACCTTATCTTTTCCTTGTTTTAAGAATTTTTTACTAGAAATATACTTAAAATAATAATAGGCTAATATATTTAATTATATATTTTAGCATCTTAATATTAATTATATAATACTTCAATTACTTTATTAATAAAGATTATAAGAAATATCTTATTTACCATTTTTTAAAAAAACTTTAATTAATAGCTTAAGTATATTTCTTATAAAATATCCTTATAACATTATTTGATTATTTGATTTTATAGTTGATAAAAAGACAATTTTTTTTATATATTTTTTTAATTATCTCAAAATCCATTTATATATATTACTTTCAATTATAATTCATCATTTCAAATTACTAATTCCTATTTATTAATTTAATTTTTTTTGTTTTTACAAAATATTAATCATTTTTTTTTATTTTGTTCTGTAATTAAATATTTTTTAACTTTAGTATAACAATAAAAATCTTGTTTATAAAGAATATAATAAATAGTTTTAATACTAACAATAGTATTTATAGCTCTATTAAGTTTTTTTCACTGTTTAATAATAATTACATACTTTTGATAATTCTAACAACACATCTAATTACATAAGTATTTAAGATTTTTAGTTGGCCTAGCAACAATAGTTCTTTTAAACTTTTTATATACAGTGTATTAAGAAAAAAGTTGCAATTTTTTTATAATTATATTTTAATATTTTATTAATATATTTTTAAAGATATAATAAAAAAATCCATTCAAATAATTTTAAAATAATATTATCAATTTTTTGATATATTTTGTTTAAAAGTTAAAGATGTTCTTAAAAAATTGGATTCGAAAATAAGATTATAAAAATTTTTTAAAAAAATTAATTTTAATTAAATAATTTATTTAAAAATTTTATATATACTGTATATATATTAAAAATGATCATAAATATTTATATAATATTTTTACATTTTTATAAAAATTTTTAATATAAAAATTAAAATTTTAAAAAAAAACAAAAAATTTTTTTTACCTATTTCCGACCACATTTTTTATATATAAAAATGAATAAAATTTTTTATTATAGATTTTTTATTATAAAAATTCAATTATTTTAAAAAAATATATTATTATATTAATTAAAATAGTATTAAGTAAAGTTGTTTATATAGTATTTAACCATATATTTATCAATTTTTATCAATTCTTTATTAAATTATAAATAAAAATATAATTGCAATTTTTTTCTTAATGCACTGTATATCAATTATATTTGTAATTATAGTTAAAGAATAATTCAAAATTTTGACAATACTTGTTATAGAAGAATCATTTTTAAAAAAACCAATAATTTCTTCACATTGAAATCTTAGTTTTTTAAATAAACTGTTTAACTTTAATTTATCTCTATATTCGGTGAGCAATTACAATTTAAATCCAAACAAAAATTTAAAAAATCTCGTGTTAATCATTTCTACCTAAACTTTTGTCCACCCACTGTATAAATTATGACTATATAAAATGAGCTCATATTTTTATATTTTATTCTTATGGATGAAAAAGGTAAAAAAGAAATTATATAATTAATATGTACGAACAATTTTGTGCATTAGTGTAGCATAAACAAATAAACAATTCAGTTATATGCCGGGTGATATAATCCGAAAACTGTATATTATTACAGTACGGAAATTTCACTTGGAAACAATGCAAATACAGCTGCACCCCTGATACATTTCTGTACTCCTGATACACCATTGCTATACGGTGAACACCTTCTAAGATTTGTTACCTCTATTAGAAAATATGTTCGGCATATTGAAAAAAATTTTAATCGGAAACGCTAATATTATAGTATTAGTTCTTACTTTCAATAATTTCCACCAACTAAAAGCATTCTTGCAAGGATATTAAACCCGACTTTCTGATAACTTTAATAATATCGTCATGAAGCGAAGAACACTAGTACTTTCTGGCTTCTTATTGATACTACTAACGTCGCTCTATATAGGCTTTTTGTTTAAAACTGTGCCTGGACTATTATTCTCAAATTCGAACGAACATAGTTCTAGTTCTTCGAACACAACTTCAAACGAACATGTCTCTAATTCTTCGAACGCAACTTCAAACGAACATGTCTCTAATTCTTCGAACACAACTTCAAATGAACATGTCTCTAATTCTTCGAACACAACTTCAAACGAACTTTCTAATTCTTCGAACACGATTTCAAACACGGCTCCAAAAAATTATAACAAAACCCTTGGCTTCGAACACATTTATGTTATTAACCTTCCTCATCGACGAGACAGACATTTCAAGATGGGGGACATAGAGGAAGTTCTTGAATTGGATTTCGAATTTTATCCGGGTGTTAGCAATAATGATAGCGAGATTCTTGATAAATATGATTTCAATATTCCGCTGAACATTAAAACATGCTACGTTAGTCATTATAGAGTCTACGAATCAATTGTCCGTAACGGATACAATAGCTGCTTGATTCTGGAAGATGATGTTGACGTTGAGATGGACATCATATCGATCATGACTGACGTTTACCGCATTCTACCCGACGATTGGGAAATGCTATACCTTGGACATTGCAATTGGGACGGAGACGGCAAATTAATAGGTGATACCGGGAGTTTTCAACTATATGAATCCATATATCCAGTTTGCACACATGCTTACGCAGTTACTCTCTCCGGCGCCAAAAAGTTATTAAGCGAGCTTACTGAACCAATTTATGCAATCGATATCGAATTAATGGAAAAGATTACACAAAAAAGATTCAAATCCTACACAATGGAACCATCGGCCATCGTTCAATGGAAATCGAAGGATAATCCTTCCGACATTTTTCATGCAGGCAAACCATGGACCTATCCTCTAAAGAAATCCACCCTGCATTACCTTGGGTTTCAGGAAATTAAATATGATTAGCACTTTCGTCATACAAAAAGTTCTCAAGCATTCGTGATATTAAGATTCATCGTAATATTACTGTATATCATTTATTACATTTTTATAATAAACTAGATAATAATTAAGTCTCAACTAGATTAATTGATAATTATTTTAAAGATTGAAACACTTATATATATTGTATATACAGTCTGGAACAAAAAAAAAACGCCTAAATTAAATTTTATTTATTTATTTATTTAAAGATAAAGAATAGAAATATATAAAAAAAATTTTTTAATATGGGTAATTATCTTTGGTGACAAAAATGCAGAATATAATTTTTCAACTCCTATCTATAACAATACGTTATAATGCAAATTTTAGGATCACAATTATAGGATACAAAAAACTCCTGTCCATCTTCAAAAACAATTATTTATATATTATTAAATTCTAATTAAAAAGAGATAGCAAATTAATTTTTTTAATTTTTTTATCATTTACAAAAAAATAACAACAATCAATTATTTAAATTATTTCAATATATAAATTAATCAATTACAAATTAATAAAACTTTATAATATTTTTTTATAACTTTTATATTAATAAAATATTTTCAAAAAAAAAATTCTTTTAGCTTAATATTAAGCTATTTACTTTTTATATTAATTTAAATACTTTTTAATAAAAAACTTTTTTCTAGTTGTATTATTATGATGATTATTATTTTTTTGAAAAGAGCAAATGACTATCATGCTTTATTTTATTTATTATACTTTTACTTGCAAAACAAGATACAATGATATACATCTCTTTTTGCTAGAAAAAGTTTAACGCAAAACTTCAAAATGGGCCCAACCCATGCTTTTTTGGCACCATTCAAGAAATATATAAAAAAAGAAATTTAAAAATCCATATTATTGTCTTGAATAGTGTCTAGTTATCTTATCAGGAAATTTTTTAGAGAGTTATTTATTGATTATTGGTTAACTATCGATTAATATCAAAAAAAAAATTGTTTATAATCGATTAATATCAATATTGACATAAATCGTATTTTATTTGATAAATAGATTTTGATTTTTAACAAAAAAGGTTATATATCATTAAAAAACAATATAATTAATTTCAATAGTAATCAATTTTATTTAATTCCGTAGATTAAAATTAAAATATATAATTATTTACTAAATATTCATTTGTTTTATCAAATTTTAGAACTATATATACACTTTTATCAATACTATCTATCGGTATACAACTATATTATTCAAGTAATTCTAATTTTTGATATCCCTACAATTCATCCTCTTCTTGATACCAACGAATATGAACAAGTTTAAATAGTTCGCTATCTTCAGATTTATAAAATTTGAATATCAATAATATCTAAATAAAATAT